GCTGTAGTGTGTGTGTGTGTGTGTGTGTATATATATATATATACATACATATATATATTTGGACGTATTGTATGTGTGAGGGGCGCAGTGTGTGTGTATGTAAGAGGGGTGCTGTGTGTGAGGGTGTTTTTATCTGTCGTCACATTCTAATTTTCTTTGTCTGTTAACTCACTGAGGGTTATTTTATATATTATATATATATATATATCTGTAAATATATATATATATATATATATATATATATATATATATGTGTGTTTGTGTGTGTGAGCGAGGGTGCTGTGTGTGAGTGAGGGTGCTGTGTGTGAGTGAGGGTGCTGTGTGCCTGAGTGCGCTGTGTGTGTCTGGGGGTGCTGTGTGTGTCTGGGGGTGCTGTGTGTGTCTGGGTGCTGTGTGTGTCTCGGTGCTGTGTGTCTGTGGGTGCTGTGTGTCTGTGGGTGCTGTGTGTGTCTGGGGGTGATGTGTGTGTCTGGGGGTGATGTGTGTGTCTGGGGGTACTGTGTGTGTCTGGGGGTGATGTGTGTGTCTGGGGGTACTGTGTGTGTCTGGGGGTGCTGTGTGTGTCTGGGGGTGATGTGTGTGTGTGAGTGTGATTTTTTAATTTAAATTAATTATTTAATTTTTTTATTAATAATAATAATTAAAAAAAAAGTTATATCCCCCCCCCTCCCTTCTTACCTTTAGCCTGGGAGGAGGGGGGGGAACCGTTTTGCCTGGGACGGGGGGGAGCCGTTCTGCCATGGGAGAGCCATGCTGCCTGATCCCTGGTGGTCCTAGTGGTGAGCGTGAACTCTAGCCTGTAGGCTAGAGTTCACTCTCGCGAGATCTGAGCGTTGCCGCGGTAACCGCGGCAACGCTCAGAATCCCGCGAGAGGACCCGGCGGAGCTGCTGGATAGAGCTCCGCCGGTCCTCTCCTCCCTCCCTCACACCCCAGCAAGCGGCCGCCTGGAAGTGTCTCTGGGCCGGTAAAGGGAGATCTTTGATCTCCCCACCGGCCCATGGAGGCACACAGCAGGGCCGGCGCTCGGATAGCGCTGGCCCTGCAGGAGCCGGCCGGGGAGATCCTGTGATCTCCCCTGCCGGCCTCGGCCCCACGGCCATCGCGGCCCACCGGGCATTTGCCCGGTATGCCCGATGGCCAGTCCGGGCCTGATTTAGTTCTAATACAAGGCAGACAGTACTTTTACCAAAGAACCAAACCAATACATTAGGGCAGAGGTTCCTAATTAATTTTTCCCGTGGAACCTTTTGACATAGTAGACCAACATCGTGGAACCCCCCCGCACCCCCCAAAAAATAAATTTGCGCCAGAGCACAAACCTTTTAGTAAGTGGCTTTTTCATTATAATTTTTAAATATTTTGATCATGAACTTCTGATACTCCTGAAGCTTTCGCTTAAAAAAGGCAATGTCTTTATCTTTGTACTGTGCGTGGTTTTGCTAAAAATGACGACATAATTTAGCAGGTGCTAACGTATTTGGCAATATTTTCTTGCAAAGTAAGAATTGTGCTTGAGGAATATTTTTATTTCTGTCACTTGTGAATCCAAATGATAAGTAGCTGTCCTTGTATTTTATTTTCTTTGTTTGAGAAGAAGATTAGGTAGCATTGCGTGCTTTTCTTTTTTTCTTTGACTTGTCACTTGTCTCTGCTGTTTGAGAAACAGTAGATTCAACTATTTCAGACCTGTTTTCTGGATTTCTTGTTGTGCCTTCTTTCTCAGTTTCTATAAGTGCCGACCAGTTAGAAGTATAAGTAATTTTTCTCTTGAATCGTTCCTTGCTTTAACCAGATGTCCAAATCCATCGCTGTTGATTGGTAAAAAAAAACACAGAAATAAAAACACTTTTCTAATCTGAAAAAAATACAGATCTCACTACCTGACTGCAACGGATGCTGTTTCTTATAAAGCTCTTAAAAAGAACATAATATAAGCATGATTTGGAGTCAGTCATGGAGCAAAAAGATTAGAACACTTTTAAACAGACCTCACTATCTGACTGCAAAGAATGCTGTTTTTTATAACGCTCTTAGAAAGAAATTAAGGTAAGCAGAATTTTGGCTCAGTCTTGGAGTAAAAAGAACACTGTACTACATATTTTACTACCTCACTGCAAAGGATGCTGTTTTTTTTTTTTTTATAAAGCCTTTAGAAATAACAATTGATTAATATTTCCTTTACGAGAATTGAGTTGTAATTTCTGTATAGCTTGGAATTTCAAAACCTTCGGATCCGAAGGTTTTTTGATAAAACCTTACATGTCTTGATACTGGTATGGAAATGTTAGGATTAGAAATTGAATTAATATGTTGTAAAATTCGTCTTCTCCATTGTTGGAAAATTTTCCTATATACTGCACTCAGCATTGACACAAGATTAGATACGCAATATTAGTTGAACTGCAGTTTACAAAGTTGTCAGTTATATAGGTTTGTTTTGTCTGAGTACTGATTGTCGATTTAGACGGATAAATAAACTCACAGACTTTACAATGCCCACACTTTTACGTTCCCTTTGTACTTTGCCGCCAATATTTTTAGATCTTTTGAAAGTCATTGAGGGAAATGGCAAGATGGCTTTATTCAATGAATCATCACTTTGAAGAATTGGCCAATTTCCTTTTAAAAAATTGTTTTGCTGGATCTCAATGACGATCAAAAGTCCCAACAAATCTAATGTTTTTGTGCGTACAGTCAGTTGTAGATGATTTTATGGGTTTGTGCAGTCTTTCAGATCTGTTTATCATTTGTACACAATGATATGCCCCTTTTAGCACTTGGTTAGGATAGCCCAACTCTCGGAAAGTTGACCTTGACTTGGAACAATTCCTTTTAGCTCTCGGGTATTGTCCGTACGGAATGTTTTTCTTTATATTACGGGATTAGTTTATTTTATTTAGCTTTCTCTCTCTACCATAGAGGTCTATTTACCACCCCTTCTTCATGGCTATATATTAATTTACGTATTATTGTATGGACACCGCTTAATATGAAAATTAATTGTATCTCCTTTAATTCCATGTATGGTTTTATACATAGTGTACTGTGAACTTCACTCTAAGGTCACTTTTGAATTATAACTCTAATTTGTCTGTATTTAACTAAGTGCTTTATGTATGTTTTAAGTAAACTCATAATAAAAGTTAAGTTTTAGCTATAATTGGGTTGGATTGCTTTTGATTATATTGTTTATTCCCTTTATGGGGGTTCATGCCCTATTCTCCAGCCCTTGCATATATTTTATTCTTCCTCCAAATCTCCCTCTTAGTTTGATCATCTTTGATATCTCTATGTAACATGAGCAATATCACTGGACCTTGCTCTATTGGTAGATATCCCTGCCATAGCAGCCAAAAAGTTTGTTTGTATTACTTTGCATTCTTCAAGGGACTCTCTAGGTACCATGACTGCTGCAGTGCACTGTAGTAGTTATGGTGCCAGGAGTCGTTGGCTGCTGTCCTCCAGCATTCATTGGTTGAGAGCCATCAGCTTATATTCTCAACCAATGAATACGGTTTAAAGTTGTATGAGTTGGTATGACAATGTAGACAAATAAGCTTCTAGTTTATCAGGCAAGTTTAGATTAGAGACAATTCACATGCCTAACACGAATTGTGTCAAACCATTTCTAAACAGTGTGACAAATTAGTGGTGGACTGCACCAGGAGAGATCTAGTGTACTGTATTGCCTACTGTGCACTGTAGCGGCTATATTGCCTGCAGTGTCCCTTTAAAATACAGAGGATACACAAAACACAGTAGCCCTATAATAAGTGAGTACATCACACAAACATTTTTGTTTTGCAGCATATATACAAAATCTAATAATATATTGTAGCACGTCTGGCCTGAGTATGAACCCTTGAAGAAGTCATTCACATCTAATTTTTAAAAGTGTTTTTATTGTCAGTGTTTAATGGTTGACAATCACGTTATTCCTCAAGCTTGTTACATGTATTTTCTTAGTATCTTGTCAATATATCAATAAAAAATTGTAAAGTAAAGAAAAAATAAAATAAATAAATAAAAAACATTGATACTTTGGTGCCTAGCCAGCTCTTACTTGCAGTATGTTTCAATACTATGTGGATACTAAAGCATTGTTCTTTCTTTGCACAACTTCAGTCAATAGCTTGGTCAGTAATTAATACATATTATTATGTAAAGGTTAGAAATAACATAGCTCTGGCTCATAGGGCTCTCCGTCCACCACCGGCGGAACCACCAAGAGACATAATATGCTGCCTAGAGCACTACATGGTTAAGGAAGAGATCCTGAGGGTGGCTTGCCGCATGGACACATTCCGCCTTAACAGGCAACCGGTGACCTTCTACCAAGATGTGTCATGCTTTACACTACAGGCACGAAAGGTCCTTCGCCCCCTCAACACGGCATGAAAATGAAACCGTCAGGCAGCTAGAATGCAGTACCGCTGGGGGGTACCCCTTCTCCCTCTCAACATGGCATGGAGATGAAACCCTCACCATTCGCAGCCCAAACCATGTAATATTCCAGAGGGCAACAGGACTCCCTGAAGTACAGGTCCCGAACTGGCTTTCCCGGCAGTTTCTGCAGCAATTGATAGGCCCCCACAGGGCCCACCACGCCAAGCGAGACAGGCACCTCTGCCACGGCCGAATCAGGGACACCCGGGCCATGCTCGGCCTGAGGAATAGACCCCACAGGCCTAAACAGAAGGTTCAGTCATGGAGAATACATCGATAGAGACATGGCCACCGAACTGTGAGTGCTTGGGGGCCTGGGGACACATTCGGGGATGTACACATTTGGGGATGGACACATTGGGGGGGGACCAGCTACATGCACCTGGGGCAGAAACACCTGGAGATGGGGGGGCATTGGGAAGCAGCCCGGCCTAAACCACGGAGGAAGACACCTGCTGTCACACACTTCGCACGACAAACACATACACCCACCGCAGGGTACTCTCACTGACCGCACTCACGTTGAAAATGAAAATGAAATGAGACTGAGGCATCCAAGCAGGGGGGTTTACAGTTACTGGGGTGGAGGGATTTCTGGGGCAGCCACAAGGAAAAGGGCAGCAGACCCGACAAGCACCCAAAGTCGCCACAAATAACGAGACGTTATACTGATGAAACAGCACACATAATACAGCCCCAGGATGAGTGATGCCCCATTCAAGGTGCCACCACTATATGGCCCCAAGATTTGCCCTGCTACTGCTAAACAGAAACCAGTAGGTTTGCGGCCCACTGAGCACAACCCAGACCCCAGACTGCAGTCCTGTAGAGAAGATAGGCTACAGCATTTTTGTCCACGAGTTGACCCGTTCATTTCTTCATAACTAGTAGTTACGTTAACTGACCATACACAGACCCACAGATACCAGAGGACTTTCCCCTGGACGGTGACCCGCATCCAGACCCCCACACCAGCTTTGGACTAGGCGCCCCCCACAAGGAGGGATAGCGTTGCTCCCGGAGAAGATAGGGAGGCCGCTGGTGTGATGGCCAGGTGGCGCTCAGCAAATCCTACCCACTAGGACCTCAGTCCCTTAGCCCACGAACCCCCTCTGTGAGTGGGTCCTCACCATAAACACAGACCTAGGCCCTCCTTCCCCCCTTCCCCTTTAAAGGGAACGAGAAAAAGGAAAGAAACCCCACCCCATTTTTTTCCCTATCCTTCTTGTCTCTCTCCCCCTCATCTCTCTTGGTCCTTCCACCCTCTCCCTCTCGCCCTCTCCCCCCGCCGCAGGACCCCGAGTGGTACCTGGACGCAATGCCGCAAAGAGGTTACTCGCACTACACACAGGCAGCCCAAAAACCGTTCATCACGGCGACAATGCGCCTCTGGCATAGGTATGGACCCAAACAATATCTGACAACAAAGCCGAGATCTTTACTCCCCATACAGGGCAACTCGGACTTCCCCACCGGCACCCAAGGCGCAATGGGAAAGGTGCCGAACTACCCGCACGATGGCTGAGCTATTCCCAGAAGTGACCCACACACTGCTCCACTCACTGTCGAGGCAGCAGCTCAATCGCTACATTGCCTCAATCTTGCAAAAACCAAACATCACCAGAGAACTGACAGAATTTGAGCACCTCTGCCTCCGAGACGCCGCCATCCATCCACAAAACCGTGTCCACGATATATGTCATGCTAGTGACAAACCACTACCTACTACCACCACCCTCCATGCTCAGCTGGGAAGAAGACCTCCACCAGACATTTACGGATGCGGAATAGGCCAAAATGCTCACCCTCATCAAGAAAACACAGACATCGGCACGAGTTCACGATCTATGCTGGCACTGTGGAGAGGAGCATGGCTCTTTCCTACACATATGGTGGTCCTGCAGACTGGTCAAACCATTCTGGGACAAGATCAGTCAGGTGGTGAGAAAACTAACGGAGGAACCCCCACCAGCGGAACCATCAACATACCTACTACATCATACGACGGAACCGATACAAGGCTACAGACGCTCGGTGATCCCAAGACTCCTGAAAGCGGCAAAATTGGAGACAATCACTGACACCTAAGATTACACAATGGGTGAAGAAAGTAGAGGACACCAGAAAATTTAAGGACCTAAAAACAACCACGGTCGGGGAGAAAGTCAGATACACCCAACGATGGTTCTACTGGCTGGTGTTCATATCCTCAGCAGACTTTGCCAGAAGACCCCCACCCCCCATCCCCTCTCCGCATGCTCAGTCGATCTCACCGGTCTACTAAAAGCCGAATTGCCCGAAACCTCCCCCCCTTTTTATTTTCTTCTCTTTTTCCTCTTCTCTTTTCTTTCTTCCTTCCCTTCTCTCGTTACACATTCCTCTTCTCTCATCGTCTTTCCCCTCACTCATCACACATTTCCTTACACCCTCCTCCCCGCCCCCACGCCAGAATCAACAGCCAATGCTGGGAGCCACCTGGCCAGAGTATAAGTGGGGACGGAGTGGGTCGGACGACATCAGAGATCTCATACCGAACCACCTGAACGATACGACCCCCTAAGTGACCGACCAACACAACGACGGCCTCACTGACTAAGGACCCTTATGTAGGGGAACCTTAATAACACTTCTATGCAGGAGCAACGTGCTCCGAAGACCTTACTGCTACCTGAACCAGCCTCAAACTGTTACTACACTACAGGCTGGCAGGGACGTGGCAGGTGATTATCATATGAAGGGTAACTGGCAAGTTGGCAGGTGTTCAGATCCCATCAAACCAGTGAGCACACTCTTGTATGCTTTTATGTTGAATATAGCATGATCGGTTTTATCACAATTACTCCTGTTTTATTATTGTCCCCATGACACAGCCATATTTCCATGCAGACAGCATGTCTACCCTATGCTTAATGCCTGACTCAATCTGCACTAGGCTGTTTATACTTTTCATTTACCGTCAAAAAATGTGCCAGAATGAATGTACATGCGCTACTCTACTCTGCCTCATTATCTCATTGCAATCAGCCACATGTGCACAGCGGATTCTTTATGTATATTGAGCACAACCAAAGTAAAGAATTTCCAATATGAGGGCAACAAAGGCACAAACTGTTTGTGAACTGTCTGTGAAGGAGAACGTTTTGTAGTATTCATATGTATCAATAAAGATCTATTTCAAACAAAAATCCAAGGAGTTGTTCCTTTGAAACAAATTTATTAGTTCACTACTGAACGATGGATTCTCCTTTGATAATGAACAGAAGTAAACCAAGCGAACATCACACCTTTTCTCCTGAATATTTATATACCAGAAAATTTGCATCACTTGTGGGTAGAAAAGTATTTGATTTAACACAGAGAGAGGTGTAAAAACACGTGGTATTAGGTGACACGAGACTCTCATCACTTTAAAGGAAAAAAGTTATCTGTCAATAATTCCTTTTGAATGAGTGGAATTACTTTTGCAGCAGATTTTATCAGATGTAACTGAAATGTGATCTCCATCAGCCGCTGCCAATAGTCAATGATAACCTGTGAAAATCCCTGACTGTAGATTCCATATGCAATCATGGAAATAGATGCATGTTGTGCAATGTATATTTGACCAAATGCATGTTAAATCCCCGTGTGCTCAAAATAAAAATAAAAAATACTTACATTTTAATAATTGCTCTTCTGGTTTCAATAATGTAAATAAAATATGTTTATAACCAGATGATGTTTGCAGGGGAGAGCTGCCACAAATGCTTGGAATGAAAGACACTGTCATTTCTTTTTAAATGTGGAACTAGATGGAGACACAATATGTCATCACTTTTTATTGTTACTGAATGCAAAAAAACAGATGTATGTACTATAATATAGTCTTGCTGTGTATTATATTATAATGTATCCATATATATAAGTAATTATTTTTAATGTATCTCTTGGTTTGCTCTAGCCCTTCTTTGGTCAGAATGTAGCGTTATTTACCAGCTCGATGACAAGCTGATCCCCTCCTCAGGTCTAGTGGGCAGGGCTGCCATCAGAAATTTTGGGGCCCCTGACACAGCTCAAGGTCTGGGCCCCCCGGTGACTGCACCCGAGTCCGTCCCCCGTCGTCGTCCCCCACCCCCCCCGAGTCCGCCCACAGGGATGCAGTGTCTGCAGGGCCGGTGCAAGGATTTTTGTCGCCCTAGACATCACTATGCCCCACCCATATGATCTGCCATGTTAACTAACACAGTGCTGCAGTGCCGCCGTGTTTACAATAAAAGGCCTGCAGGGACAGGCTATAGACACCAGAACCACTACATTAAGCTGCAGTGGTTCTGGGGACTATAGTGTCCCTTTAATGTGAGGTAAATTAGAGATTAGTGCCACGAATAATATACTAGATTGCCTACTTACAACCAGATGAGGATGATGATGGGCTCTAGCTGCCGTCTGGCTCCACTGGTCTGGTGTAGAACAAGCTCTCTGGAGGCGGTTTGTAACTGTGGTCACAAAAATCAATGTTCTGGGAGAACGGGAAGCAGCTCCATTTTTTTTGAGGGCCCTTTACACAGCTCAAGGTCTGGGTCCCAGGGTCCACCTTCATGTTCCACCAATGAGTTTGTTCACAGGGGGTGGAGTGTGTGTGGGGGGGATGTCCTGATGTGTAAGGAATGCATTGTGTGAATCTGTGTTTGTATGTGTAAGGGCTGCAAGGTGAGTTTGTGTATGTATGGGATGCAGTGTGTGCGTCTGTAAGGGATGCACTGAGTGTGTGTAAGGGGTGCATTGTGTGTTGCTGTGTGTAAGGGATGCATTGCTTGTGCATGTGTGTCTGTGTGTAATGCATTGTTTGTTTTTCTGTGTGCAAGGGGTGCATTGTGTGTGTGTGTGATGTATGTCAATCTCTCCCCCTCCCCCCGTCAATTTC